GAAGGAGCAACGCTTGCAGCGCACAATCACTCCTTCAAGACAGGTGAGACACTTCTGAGCGGCTGGAAGATCTGCTACGAGAACGACGCCTGCTACGTCGTCGCAAAATGCTACGAGAAATCAAATCTGGAATAGTGGCAGTACGGGACGCTTTAGCACAGAAACCTTTAACAGCGGGGCGCGTGGGTCTAGGATGAAACGCCTCAGCCTCAGGCGGCGGTGAAGTCGGAGGTGGCAACGGCGGTGGCGGCACAACGTTCGGGCGCCACATGATACTCGACGATGGGGGCCTGTATGGAGCCACTTCTCTTGAGGGCCTCACCGACACTGTACCAAAAGTTGGTGGTCGTAACTTTGACATAGCTTTGCGTGGAATCGGCGCTCGATTGTGATCTCGGTCTTCATCAGAACGAGCTCTTTGCACATGATCTTCAGCAATGTCGACGACTCTGTTCTGCAACGTGTCAAGAAAGTAGCCACGGACATGGTTGTTGGTCAGCGCATGGTACAAGATGTCGGTTTGTCTTTCAGACAAGATTGTAGAATATCGCTAAGTTCGGCAGGAAGATGAGCTCCCCGTTCATGATCACGACTGCTTGCGGCCATGCTTGAAAAAACTGCAGGCTACGGCTTGAGAACTTCCTAACAAGCAGTATGATGAGAATACATGAAGCAACATGCATGACAGCACAACATCTGAATCACTCTGCAGAAGCTCACAGAACTCAAGAGTCTGTTTTGATGCAGACGAATTACTGCTGAGGGTCGACGCTGCTGTTATCCAAAATGACAGTGGATGCCTTTCCCGGCGTAGTGAAAATCTTCTCATACGGAAACTTCACAGTGACGATAGCCTGACAGAAACTGACAAGTACAGAACGGCTGAACATCCCAGGAAAATACATCAGTGGGTGGAGGGCGCTGCACAAGCTGCAAGAAGTATCGCACACATCGAGCGAACTCATCACGAGGGATCTTCGTCCACAATTGGCTTTCAGCTGCAAGAAAAGCAAGACGACCGGCATAGAACTTGAACGACTGAAGGTCAGACAATGTCCAACAATCTGCAAACTCATTGTTCTGAGAATCCTGCTGAATTGCAAGATTAAGAGTCTCTTCTGTAAGTCGGGCCTGGCGAATGGCCAATGCCGCTGCTACACCCTGAGGATCACAAGCTGAAATCGGACCAGCATTCTGCATTGCAAAGGTCTGTGCAAGGCTGGAGGGCGTCATCACTCCAGCAGGGCTTTCAAGTGGAAGTGGTGTGGGTTGTGAGGATGTGGTTGTGGTGACAGTGGTGGGTAGTGGGTGAGTTGGAGGTGGGAGTGGTGGCAGTGGTGGCTGGGGTGGAGGTGGCGGTGGTGTTGGTGCTGAACTTCGGTGGCAAAACTGGATGCGCAGGTCTCGTTGTTGCTGGATTCACAGACGTCACACTCACAGGTGGCGGTGGTGGTGGGAAAGGTGGTGGTGGAACAGGTGGAGGTGGAGCAGGTGAAACAGGATGGTGTCCAGGGGCAGGTGGAGTGGGCGTATTCGCAATGGTGGAAGAATGGAAGGGTGAAGCTTGTGGTGGAATTAGCTGCGGTCGTGGGTGAAAAGGTGAAGCTGCTGCTGGCACTGCAACCGGTGTGGTCTGATGGCTTGCAACACGCTGTGTCACTGGAACAGCAGGATACTTCGGATGCTCAGGATATGAATTGGTAACCGAAGACACATCAGTAGTGCTTGGGCTGCGGGAGGGTGAGCTGCTGGACCTCCTGATCTTCCTCGAGTTCGTCTACGGCTTCGGCCACGAGACACACTGTTGCTTCTTCTACGTTCACGTGCACTTCTCAAAGACTCTGCGGGCGAACGAATGGCAGGTACAAGATGTGGGGCCTGACTAGATTGAACAGAGCGCGAAAAGCGAGGTGCAGAAACTTGCAAAACACCTGGTTCTTGCAGTTACACAGACTGCTGCAAAAGACCTGGTTCTTGAAGAGGTACTGTAGGCTGTAATCGACCTGGTTCTTGAAAAAATACTGTACGCTGCAAAAGACCTGGTTCTTGAACAGGTACTGCAAGCTGAACTTGTTCTGGAGAACTGGTGGGATACGATAAACCGGCGATGGCACCGTTGCCAAAGGTCTGGAACCGAGCTCTCGGTCTTGTTGTACGAAATGAAAATGATAATTTGCGATGGCTCAGGACACAGAACGGAGGTTGTGATACAAGGATGTTACATGATTCAATGGTAATGGAACTACTCCTTAGCTCCTGAACCTGGGGTCTTCCAAAGGAGCTATCCAGCCAGGGTATTGAAAGCCAAGGAAGCTTCGGCAATCAGAGTCATCGTGGGGTTCTTGTCCATGGGAGTCTTCGGAATCTCAAGGCTCATACTCCAGAGCAATGTCAGGCCAAATGGGTGGTCCAACGGTACATCGGCAATTGGGGCCTCTCCGTGGGGGTCTTCGCGATCTCAAGGCTCATAAGTTAGGAAATCCAGATGTAGTCATGGCATCCTTACCTGGATGGATGCTGTTTGTGCTAGGTTATTACATGGCTTTGATTTTCACTTGTTCTCAATTGTTTCCACTGCCACAGGGGGCCCACTGGCTAATCCGAGAGCAGGTACGTCTGGCTGATCAGGCCAGATATCACCGAGCACTGACAGTGTCTTCGTTGGGCAGTGACTGTCAGGCATGCACTGCCCCCTGCTTGTAAAAGCTTAAACCTAGATCCTTTGGTACAGGAGTGCCACACACACACACTCATGTACCCACCTACCTCACACATGCACACACACACACATGCCCAGAAAGATGACTGTTAATTATTACCTCAACTGCTGAGACACTCTGCGTTTTCCACGACGACGTTCCCAACTGTTCTTTCAATCGCAGGATCGCTATCCTCCTCCCCCCACTCCCACAAGGCAAAGCGGATCTTTGTTGGGGCGCCTGGACATACGCTGTCCGGTGTTGGCGACGCCCTTTTGCGCTTCCGTCCCGGTATCTTTTGCTGGGCAGATTTCAGCAAAAGTCGGGGCGTTTGTCCGCTGGCGGACCTCACGTCCAACGAGGCGCCGTGCTCAACGAGAAAGCTCACGACTTCCCAGTGCTTGTACGCTATTGCAAAAAACAACGCGGACTTTCTGTTGTGGTCCCGGTAGTTGACCTGCGGAGCTTGAAACAAAGCGACCTGTTTACTTGACAGCCAGTCGTGTTTTTATACTAGTTTTGCTCCTATCGATTTGCAGGGACATCGA